GGGGGGAGGGGGCGGGGAGACGGGCGGGGCGAGGGGGAAGGAATTGCAGAGGGGCGGGGAGGGGGGGCAGGGGGCGGGCAGACGGAAGGGGCGGAGAAACGATCCGCTTTCGGGGCCAGGTACCTGATGCGAGGGGCAGATGGGGCCCGAACCCCCAAACTGCTGGCCGCGCCCTTAGTGTCAGGGCACCCCAGTGCCCCGCAGAGGGGACACGGGGAGGTCGGAGACCATAAAGCTGGGCTCCTCGGGCAACCCGGGGGCGGGGGGCAAAATCTGGAGCTGCGCTGGGGGAGGGGTCCCTGGAGGAAGGGCCGCTGACCGCTGACCAGCACTCAGGAAGAGCGTCTTCCCTTCCAGGTCCTGGAGCCACATCAGGGTGGCCAGAAGGCCGGGTGGAAGGGTCAAGGCCGGCGGCACAGGCCCATCCCCATCGGTGGGCGTGAGGCTCTCCTCTGGCCCTTACCTGAACAGGGCACTTCAGGACACACTTGCACAACATCTGCGACAATGTAGCGTCTAATGAGGGACTGGGAGCCCCCGCCCCCCACACACACACCACAGTCTCGGCCTGGTCGTTCCCATGGAGAAGGGATTTTTGTTGGGGGCAGGGGTGAATGGCCCGGTGACACCTAGGAGAGCCACAGGCAAGATATCCCACCTCAGTGTCCACTCCCAAATCTCGATCAGCTCTTTACCTCCAAAGCACACCTTGAATGGGGTCCCCATTCCTGGATGCCACCACGGCCAACTTCCCCGGGCACCCAGCCCAAGCGGTCATCCAGGGCCCCAAGCTTGATGGAATGCTCTGCTGTCACCATCTTGAGATCTGTAATAATTTTGGAACAAGGGACTCCGTGCTATAACTTTGCACTGCCCCTGCTTCTCATGACAACCTCCAGCCTCAACCACTTACCCCTCCTTACCCTGTAGAATCCAGTCTCCTCCGAGCTTAATCGGTGGCTCAGAGCCTTTGCTTAAAGCCCTTCCGGGTTTCCCTTCCACGGACAGCCAGTCTCCTCCCCCTGGGGATGACCTCTACCCTGGGGATGAGGACAGAGCCAAGGGCATCTGGCACCTGTATACCTGCCAGCCCCTCACGGGATGTGCGGCCGACGGCAGCCTTGGCCATGGGATGGAATAAAACGCCTCCTTGTGCACCAGCTCACTCTGCTCTTTTGGGGTGAGAAATTGACCCAAGGCCAAAGCACAAGCTTATAACCATGGACACAGGCAGTCCAAACCTGGGGATAATTTTTCATTCTAGGAGTATAAAGGAGGGAATCTTGGAAATGCCAGAAAAATACAGAAAAGCACGTGACTATCACCTATTGTCTTACTATCCAAAAATAACTAGTGTAAGCTTTTTAGTGTATTTCTTTATTGGCCCTTTTTTTTTTTTAAATTTCTTGTTGGTTTTTACAAAGAATAGGATCTTTTATATAGTTGGGTCACCCTGAGTCTGTTCCGTGTGGTAAGAGGATAGCAGATTTTTTATGTGGGGGTGCTGAGAAATGGTTCACCGGAACAAATCAGGCCTGTATATAGTGTAATCCTTGTTCCCCCCGCTTTGAGGATAATTATGGATTCGTGCCATTCAGACTCGGGTAGTTTTAATTAATTGTAATCATGATTGATGACGGATATGTCTGTGTGGGCTCCTGTGTGCCTTCAACACTGCCCCGTGGAGAGGCACCCCGCCTTCTTGCAGTGACATAGTCCAAGCCCGTAGTGCACCTTCCCTGCCCCAAAACACACAGCCAGCTGTTCTCCAGAGACCCCCATTCCCTGGGGATGGAGAAGCATACCCATGACTGCAGGGTGGGTATTGGGGACACATCTTCAATGACCGTGCGCTAGTTTTTGGTGCAGAACCTCTAATGGCTACCTAAGTGATCAGGTGGAAACAATCGATTTTGAAGAGGGTGAGTTCCTATTGCTGTTTCCAATTTAGCTCCAATGATATTCTGAAACAGGTGTCCTCAGCGAATATGGCCTGCCTGAGCGCTAGACCTGGCCCCTCACTTCTTATTGTAAATAAAGCTTTATTGGCACAGAGACATGCCCATTCATTTGCGAGTTGTCTCTGCCTGCTTCCCAGCTTCCAGGACAGATGTGAGTAGTTACCACGGAGACCAAGCGGCAGACAAAGCCCTTTACAGAGAATATTGGCAAACCCTTCTCAGTAGCTGCCTACCTTGATTTTTTAGCCCCTCACCCAAAATATAATTTTACCTTTTTCTTTTATCATTCGGCAAACCATGTAAGTTTCTGAATGTCCTGATTATAGCTTGTGTGATTTCATGTTCACTTTACCTGTCAGCATAAACTACAAGGACAGACCCTAGGGGTGATATCAAGGGTCTCTACAATCAGCCAAGGGTTGGGAATGAAGATCTAAGATGGCAGGAGCTGTGGGGTGGGAGTGAGCGCCCGGCCCACTGATTGCTTCGGGGACGGGGCACGGGACCAGTGCTGGTCCCCGAGTGGGTATGAGATTCCCAGGGATGCTGGAACTCATACCACAACCGCAGCGGCTCAAATCATTTCTATCCGACAATTCTGGAGGTCAGAAGGCTGTGGTGGCCTCAGGGGGCTAGAATCAAGGTGCGGTGTTTGTCCCCAACGGGCCCCTGTACATGCTGGACAAGGAGAAATGGAAGGAAGAGGCAGGCCATTCCCGACGGGCGGACGGCGGGTTTGTGAGCAAGGGAGCTCCCTTCCAGGCTTGTCTAGCACCACACCTGCCTGGCAGCATTTTTTTTTTTTTTTTTTTTTTTTTTAAGATTTTATTTAATTGACAGAGACACAGCGAGAAAGGAAACACAAGCAGGGGGAGTAGGAGAGGGGGAAGCAGACTCCCCGCCGAGCAGGGAGCCCGACACGGGGCTCCATCCCAGGACCCTGAGGCCATGACCTGAGCCGAAAGCAGACGCTTAACAACTGAGCCCCCCAGCCACCCCTCAAATTTTATTTTTAACAATCTCTGTGCTCAGGTTGGGGCTCAAACTCACAACCATGAGATCGATAGTCACAAGCTCCACGGACTGGGTCGGCCAGGTGCCCCTGGTAGATTTTATTCAAGCAAATACAGGGAATTCCGAGTATTAGCCATTTCAGTTCGGGTGCAAAACTCCAGACCTTTGCAGGGATGAAAGTAGGTGACTGCTGGGGGTCTCCGGCCTGCTCAATCCGTGGACTGGATGACTCTCGATTTCAGGGTCATGAGTTCGAGGCCCACGTTGAGTATAGAGATGACTTAAAAATAAAATCCTTAGGGGCGCCTGGGTGGCTCAGTGGGTTAAGCCTCTGCCTTCCACTCAGGTCATGATCCCAGGTCCTGGGATCGAGTCCCGCATTGGTCTCTCTGCTCGGGGGGAGCCTGCTTCCCTCTCTCTCTCTGCCTGCTTCTCTACCTACTTGTGATCTCCGTCTGTCAAATAAATAAATAAAATCTTAAAATAAATAAATAAAATCTTTAAAAAAATAAAATTCTTTTTTAAAAAGATTTTTTAATTTATTTATTTGACAGAGAGAGATCACAAGTAGACGGAGAGGCAGGCAGAGAGAGAGGGAAGCAGGCTCCCCGCTGAGCAGAGAGACCAATGCGGGACTCGATCCCAGGACCCTGAGATCATGACCCGAGCTGAAGGCAGCGGCTTAACCCACTGAGCCACTCAGGCCTCCCCCCAAAAAATAAAATTGTTAAAAAAATAAAATAGGGGTGTCTGGATGGCTCAGTCATTGGGTGTCTGCCTTCGGCTCAGGTCATGATCCCGGGGTCCTGGGATCGAGCCCCGCATCGGGCTCCTTGCTCTGCAGGAAGCCTGCTTCTCCCTCTCCCCCTTCCCCTGCTTGTGTTCCCTCGCTAGCTGTGTCTCCCTCTGTCAAATAATAAATACAATCTTTTCAAAAACTAAAATAAATTAATAAAATAAAAATAAAAAGATAAAATCTGTAATGTTTGACCCACCATGTTTCACCTTGTTGTAACTTCTCTATTGCAGTTAAATATATATATATTACATAAATAACATATAAATACATAAAAACACATATTATATAAGTAAAATTTATAAAAATAAATAAATATATATGTACATATAAATATGTACATA